CTTTTCTTTTAACAAATTATTCATTTCAGAAATTTAAAAAATAAACAATAAACAATGTTGAAGACCGTACCTTGACCTATAATGGTTTACTTTTATAAATTGTGACTTGGATGGAGAGTTGTCTCATACCACATCACCCTATATCTATTTAACCCAGCACATTCGTTATGTGTCTGTCCGAAGCCACGAGCCTGTAGTTTGAAGGTTGTCGTTGGTTCATCTCTATCATATTTGTTATTTTTCGTTAATTGTTTTGTTATGAGTTAGGCCGTTAGTTTTCTTGTTGAATCCTTCCACAATTTTCATGTCGGGGCTTTTTATAGCCGACTGTAAGGTACAATTTTTCGTTGTTGAAGGCCAAACGATAGCATATAAATGCTTACATACACTTTATTTGACCCTGGTGGATAGTTATCTTATTTGCAATCATACAACATCTCCACTGTTTATATTTAAAAAAAAAACAACAGCGCCTACAAAAGATGAATGGTCGGTTTTTTTTTATTGAACTTAAAGAATTTCACCATGACAACAAATAAGACAACAGTCGTTAGTATTATAACGATATATGAACGTATTTAGATGATATGGTTGAAAAAAAACCTTTTTGTCTTTAAAAACACAAAGTCAAATAGAGGTACGCAACGACGACTTATGAACGAAATTAACGGCATGTATTTTATAATATTTGATAAGTAGTTTATTTTGTATATTTGTAAGCCGGTAAAGCTTTGATACAGCCAAAATTTCGTCACTTGATATTAGCTAGGCAGTGATTAATTTCATCTTTAAATTACAATATATTGCAAGACGCCGTACAGACAAAAGTTGTTATTTTGCAATTCGCCGTACAACGTCCTGCAATTCGCCGTTCAATAAACAAACAATGTTTTGGTCCATATTCTTTAAAAACATCTTTATGACAACAGATTTCAGTCAATATGATGTCACACTATCATAATCTAAAAACATGTCTGGAAAAATAATGAAAAACAGTTGAATATCTTGCCAATGGGGCGACTGAGGACAATCGACCTCGAAATTTTCAGGTACTAAGTGGCAAGATTTGGAGTATAACACAAAATATGGTCTTAATTTTGTACTTATCGGTCTAATAATTTAAAGAATTATATATCAGAAAATCATTTCTTAAGCGGTACCCTCGTCAAATAAGTAGAAATGCTTTAAATTGAAGGAATTCTTACCTTGTTTACCTTTTTTTCCATTTCTCTCCGCTTCGTTAGTACCCAATTTCCGGTGCCGATGATACACAGTGAATACAAAGGTAACAAAGAAACAGGCCGGTAACAACCGTTGCCGGATAGTTTTTCTGCACGAGTAGTCAGGTGAAGGTCCGAGGCGATATACGAGGACCTTGACCTGACTACAAGTGCAGAAGAACTATACGGCAACGGTTGTTACCGGCCTGTTTTTTTGTTACCTTTGTTTTGTATCCGACTTGTACGACGTTTCAAGAAAGAAGTAGAAGAGGTAGCAAAATTAAACAGATTAGAAACTTAAATGGCCATATACCAGTTAATGTAAGTTACAGTTTAAACAAACTTTTTTTTCACTTCCCTTCAGCCGAAAGTTTTTTCCAAGAAATTCAAGAATATAATAATTTTATAAAAAAGAACCATGTCAAGTAAAAGATGAATGTCGTACTACACATTTGAGAATTTTTAAAATGCAACTTCGCAAGTAAGTAATAAATGAAAAAGGTTTCAGAGGTAAGCAAGCTAACATTTGATTTTTATTGGGGGAAAAACGGGAAAAAAGGGGGGGGGTTAAAATAAATTTAAAATAAACAGGCTTGATCCTTTTTTTTGTTGAAAAAATGCAGGATGTGCCATTCCATCCCCAATTCCCCCTTAAATAAATAATAAAAATCGTACGTTTTCTCCCAAATATATGAATTCAATAACAATATAAATGTATCAAAAGAATGAATTTCCTAGCTATTTCATTAGTGAATGAAATGTTATGAAAAAAATGGATTTTGTCTTGTTATAAGATATATATAGGCATATATTTTGGAATTTTTTAATTTTTTTTTTCATGCTTATAGGTTTGTATGTCTCTGATAGTGTTGATCAGGATTAAACACGTGTCACAATATGATCCAATTGCAGCTTACCGTCCAAAATTGGTGACATAAGTTGAATGATTTTCTTCAAGATTTTTTGCCTATTTGAACATGTATTACACGGACATTTTTTATTTATAGGATCAATCGTGCATTGGTGAGTTGATAGGGATTTTATCTTTTGATTAGATTTTATTTTTTTTATATATAGTTCCTGTGTTTTTTATTGAAATATAAACGTCGGTACCAGCATTTCTTCACTTTCAGTATTGTCCAGAATACTATTCATGTCCATATATTGAAAAAAAAATACATTTACGGACCGACCATTTAGCTTCAAAAGGGGGGTATGTTTTTTTCTCAGTAAGAAAATTATTTGGTTTTTCAACGCTATCACCCAAATATTTTTTTTCGAAATTAGCACTATTATATACGGTCTTCGTAAAATCAGGAATCAGAACATTATTTTGTCATCTGCTTGACCACAATATATTTTTTCTCATAAAATTGGGGATCAGAATATTTTTTTAGGAAAAAACCATAACCCCCCCTTTGAAGTTAAATGGTCAATCCTTTAGTGTACTGATATGAATAGTAATATACTGGAATTGTTTGAAAAAAAAATATAGTTATTGATGTCAACGTAAATATTTTAATAAAAAAGACATGAAATATGTCGGTGAAACAAAAAGTTCAAATCAAATTGAAATTTAAAGTGCCCATGAACTCATTGATCATGCACGAGTGATTCTATTCATAAAAAGTGTCCGTGTAACAACTAAAAAGTGTGCGTGTATCATCTAAAAAGTGTCCGTGTAACACCCGTTAATGTACTGTTTTTCTATAGCTCTGCTGGGGGCAAAGTCGTACAAGTTGACACGCCTTTTGCAAGACCATGCATGAATATACGGAAAAGATTTGATAATGGGTTTAAAGTGAAAGAAATTTTATTTTAAAGTATGTATTTATTTCTTCGTCGATGACTAGTTCAAAACTGTTATCCACTTTCCCAGTGAATAAATGATAACAATAAGTCTGTTCTCGTCCACCATTTTTTTTCTCAATGATTTGGGTTTGATCCATTGTACTGTTACCTGTCGTTGTTCTCGTCCTTGCTATTTGTACTTTGGAGGATTGTAAAAATTGAAGACTTTGGTGCGACATTATTTCAAAAGGTCTTTAACAAACATAATTTTCTAATTTGCATGCATTTGTGTTATATTTGTTTATTTTAATATTTATGTTCAATTTTTATACGACTGCAAAATAATTTTGCGGTCGTATATTGGTATGACGTTGGCGTCGTCGTCGTCGTAGTCCGAAGACACATTGGTTTTCGCACTCTAACTTTAGTTTAAGTGAATGGAACTTTATGAAATTTTACCATAAGGTTTAATACCACAAAAGGAAGGTGGGGATTGATTTTGGGGGTTATGGTACCAACAGTTAAGGAATTAGGGGCCAAAAAGGGGCCAAAAATAAGCATCCAGACAACACTTGTGTGTTAATGTATGGATCTCTCTGACATTGTACCACAAGGTTCCATATCACAAAGGGAATGCTGGGATTGATTTTGGGGGTAATTGCCTCCAAATTTTAGGAATTAGGGGCCAAAAAGGGGCAAAAAACAAGCATTTTTCTAGTTTCATGACAATAACTTGTGTGTAAGTGTTTGGATCTCTCTGACATTGTACCACAAGGTTCCATATCACAAAGGGAATGCTGGGATTGATTTTGGGGGTAATTGCCTCCAAATTTTAGGAATTAGGGGCAAAAAAGGGGCAAAAAACAAGCAGTTTTCTAGTTTCATGACAATAACTTGTGTGTAAGTGTATGGATCTTTTTGAAATTGTACTACAAGGTTCCATATCACAAAGGGAAAGCTGGAATTGAGTTTGGGGGTAATTTCCCAAAACGTTTAGGAAAAAGGGCCAAAAATAAGCCTTTTCTAGTTTCCAGACAATAACTTGTGTTCAAGTGTATGGATCTCTCTGAAATTGTACTGCAAGGTACCATACCACAAAGGGAAGGCTGGGATTGAGTTTGGGGGTGATGAATCATAAGGGGGTTCAAAAAATTGGGGGGGGGGGGGATTTTTTTCCCCTTTTTTTTCTTTAAAATTTTCCATTTTAAATTGGTTAATTCTGATTTATATATAAAAGCAAATAATAATGATATGGTTTGAATAGGTAAATTAAAAAAATTTAAGTTCTTAGACCACATTCATTCTGTGTCAGAAACCTATGCTGTGTCAAATATTTAATTACAATCCAAATTCAGTGCTGTATCAAGCTTCAATGTTGTGTCCATACTTGCCCCAACTGTTCAGGGTTCGACCTCTGCGGTCGTATCAAGCTGCGCCCAAGCCATTTTATTACAATTAATTTCCGACTTTCCTGCCCTCAACACTTCAATATTCAATAAAAGATTCGATATCTTCTACTTTTTTTGTTTGTTGTTGATAATTAGGAAGAACTTTCAAAATCTTGCACTGTTATAATTTTGTTCTTTTAATTCTACGCGGTAATACCGGATAAGATTAATTCGGTTTATCGGGAATTTTTAAATGTTTTCCATTTTCTATTTTTAGATAGTACCCACAAATATTTATTTTAAAGTTTCTTCTCCATATATTTATATACATGACAAAATGGTCTGTCTAAAAGGATAACATATTCTAATATTTACAGTATTAATTATAGTTATTGTAATTATCAAGTTTCTGTAAAATTATTTGTCAGCAGCCATGTTTTATTTTTTGTATATATTATTTTAATTACAATCCACAGAATGCAATCACTAAAATCATTTTGAAAGGTATATTATTACTGTTTACATAACGGAACACATTTAAATTAAAAACTAGCCAACCCCGTCATAGCAAAACAAAATAATTACTTGAAAATGAACATACCTTATATGCACAGGCGTTGTATATTTTTTTCACGTTTATGTTTCCACAGCAATTCACACAACAGAACATTTGCAAAACAAAATCTTACTGTTATACAGCATTGATAATAACAAAGTTTGTTATATCCGCCAATGTTTTCTTTTCAGAACAAGTCTCAGATTTATCTATTATCCTAAATGATTAACTATAATGAATGTCTTCCCATACCGTATGTTCTAAAATTACTATGTTGGAACAAATTTCACAGAAAATATTGATGAGATAATATACATGTACGAAGTAATATTGAATTAAATCGGAACATGTCCCACATCCTCTTCCCTGTTCATGATCCTTATAACCACATATATTATAAAACATATTTATATATCAGTGTAAACGACTTTTATGCTTGATTGGTCATGAATGAAGCTATATATAAAAATCTTTAGAATGTTTTTAAACGGTTATTTTTAATGCTTGAGTGTGGTATCAAAAGATCAATTCTGGTGACAAAATGATAATCTCCCTTTCTTATTTGACTTTTAAATGTTCGACACCCCTTTCCCCCTGTAACACGTTATTCATTGTATGAGGACAAGAACTCAAATGGAGAAAAACAATTTAAAAAGTGCTGATAATGAATAAAAGAAATCAGTGACGAACTCGAGATTTTTATAAAAAGGGGGACTAAGAGGCCATGCGGAATTGGCTAGTCAAATCAAGAAAAATATGATACAACACAAATATTAGTTCATAAAGGGAGGCCTAGACACACGTGGTATTATATACTAGTCAACAAAAGTAACGATACACAAGTTTGAACTCCAATTTATCATAAAATATAATAAATAGGAAAAACTGTTAAATAATCCAATAAAAAACATTCATTTGCAAAGCAAATGCATACGATTAAAGGAATCTGACCAAATTGGAAAGTGCGAAAATACCGTGTTATTGAACACAGGGGTCAAATTTATTTTGCGGAAAATGATGACAAAAGTCTGCACTTAATTTCGAAGATGGGATTTTTAGGTATTCAAATATCTGCAAAGGCATTCAAAGTTTTAAGCAGACCGTGTTTAAGTTTTAAGTTTTAAGTTCTAACATCGATTTTAGAATTTTTGGGTGAAAATACGATTTTTGAAATAACAAAAATTGCAAAAAAAAAAATCATGTATTTGCCTAAAATCAATGGTTTTGATAAGAAAATAACACTCTGTAAATATTAGACCAATTGGGCAATAATTAACCTTGGCACATTATATCCAATTTCATTATATATGGAAAATTCATTGCCTTGTATCGTTTCTTAAATGTTGACTAGTATATAATGTCATCAACACATCACAAATTAGAAGCAATTAGATTTTCCATTATAGCTGTTTTACCTAAGCACGGAGCAGTTAAAACAAGTGAGATATAATGGCCGATGTTGATTTGTGTTTTTTTTTATTTGCCATGCGTTCCCATTTGTTAATTTGATGTATTAAAATTTTTCTTTCAGGATTCGTTTAACTGTCTTCTTATCACTTTTGTTTACTTTTGCTTTCATCCCGGTTTTCCCTTGCACTTGTACTGTGCGAATGCAGAATCTTTACAGAAAGATGTCATATGTAATAGCTGTCAGCGAATTTAAGTACGGGAAGAAATTATTCAATATTGTTGGTTCTGCAAAACTGGTCGACAGGATTAAAGGAAGAAACTCAGACTGCCACTGCAAAACGAAGATATGATGCATGTGAACATTTTTGCTTTGCAACAAGCAGCTAACAGACTACTTAAACAAATATATAGTAAAAACAAATAAAATATTGGTACAATCATTAACATACACAAACGTAACAATAACAAAACAGTTATTGTTACGTTGGACAAAAATGTCTGGAATGCTAGGTTGGATTAGGAACCGACTGATTACGAACGTAACAATACTATTTGTGATTTGTAATATATAATACTTTCATCGCACCAATTCATACCACAACGATGTTGTTGGTTGCTTTAATGATTGGTTCAAACATGAGTTCATGGACATTATTTTTATTCTGATTAAATAAATAATCAGAGGATAACAACGGTACAATCAAAGGACAAGGTATGATAAGGGGCGTTTTGGCCCCCTCCCAAAATAAGTTAACTTATATTTATATCATTGATAGCTTTTGTATAGAAGCTTGAGGAAACAATGATTTAGAAAACCTACGATACACCATGGTAAAAAAAATTGAAGAACACTTTAAAATAGATATAATTTCACATATTTCTTACTAACAAATCAAATCTTTCTTATCTTTATCGATAAAATCTTGCCTTTATTTTTATCAAACAGAAACCAAACGTTTACGGAATTGTTTTTGGTTATGTTCGTGTTGCTCAGTCTTTGGTTTTCTATGTTGTGTTTTGTATACTGTTTGACTTTTGGTCTTTTTTCGTTTTTGCCATGGCGTTGTCAGTTTATTTTCGACTTATGAGTTTGAATGTCCCGTTGGTATCTTTTGCCTCTCTTTTAAGAGGGTGGTAAAGGGTTATTCTCGTGCAACGTGTTTTGCCATTTTTATTTCACGTACAGCCGTGAAAAAGGTTCGTTATTCACTGTGTTTCGTGAAATCGGTAAAAAGATCAACATGCAAGAAATTTTTAATTGTTCGTTCATCGTGAAATGGCAATTTTATTTCGTGTTCTTCCCTGCAGATACCCCCCTTTACGCCTCTCTTTTAAGGTTGAAATTTCGTGAAATAACTTTTTAGACAAGTCTCAGTATTAAAGTACTAGTAAGTCTCGGATTATGGCGATAATCCCGTACCGTACTTTAAAGAGTATGTATCTTGATAGAATAGCGATTGTCACTTCTTTTTATGTATCCTTTACAAGGAGTTTCCTGTAATTTTGTCATTTCCTTTCAACTTATTCGGACATACCTCTTTTTTCTCGTTGTTGTCTAATAATGCATTGTCACTTCCTTTTTATGTATCCTTTACAAGGAGTTTCCTGTAATTTTATCATTTCCTTTCAACTTATTCAGACATAAATCTTTTTCTCGTTGTTGTCGAATAATGCATTTTCCACAGAGCTGTATTTTGGTAATTTTCATTTACCAACGATCTTATTAGCTAAGAACTGTGATAATGTTCCACCATTTTTGTACAAAATGCGAGATGGTGTCGATATTACAAAGCTAACCTGTTACCTATAGATGTTGGTGGTAGTGACGGTTTCAGAAATCCTGTTTTTAATTTCACTTGTGATAATGAACAGAAAAGGACTATAAGTACATTTTTCATATAGAAAAAATGGATGAAAATCGTCCTAAATTTAAAAATAAGGAGATGTGGTATGATTGCCAATGAGACAATTATCCACCAAAGTTCAAATAAAGTATATATGTTAGCAATTATAGGCAATCGTATGGCCTTCAACAATGAGAAAAACCCATACCGTATAGTCGGTTATAAAAGGCCCCGACATGAAAATATGAAACAATTCAACTGAGAAAACTAACGGCCTAATTCATTACACAAAAACAATAAACGAAAAACAAGTATGACATACATGAACCAACGACAACCACTGAACTACAGGCTCCTGACTTGGGACAGGCACATAAAGAATGTGGCGGGGATAAACATGTTTATGAGCGCTCAACCCTTTCCCTAACCTGGGACAGTGGTGTAACAGTACAACATAAGAACAAACTATAAAAATCAGTTGAAAAAGGCTTAACTCATCAGATCGATACAAAGCAGAAAAACATCAAACATAAACACAGACTTGACGTGGCAGGGTATCTATTTTAAATTTAAACATCTCTCATCCCTAACAACAAAAAGGACACTTAAGTACAGATCTGAGAGTACTCGCATGCATGGATTAATTGACGATTTCGGGACAATATAAAAATAATCATGACGTGCTGATTGTTTTGAGATTATGTTTTTTTTTTCTATCATTAATTTTCTCGAGATATCAGCCTTTCTGTTCTATTTTAGCCAGAATAGTCGTGTCTTTTGCTCAACCCGCGTAGTCGACTTAATTTTAAGGACATACGATACTGTTACAGGGGAGGTAATGACGTTGCTAACGTAAACAGTTATTTTTCACGACGTCAAACTGTGATTTATCGGGAAAAGATGCATTTGTGGACTAATTTTATCATTAGCTTGAAAACGATAACATTGACCCCTCTTTTTTAAAATGGCAATTGGTTCGATTATGTATGATGATTTTTTGCCAAATTTTATGAAAAAATCATTGATGATTTTTTTAAATTAGATAAATATACAGCAAAACATGCCGTTTTTTTTCTATAATCATGAAACTTTGATAAAAATGAATTATTTCTAAAGGATTATTACACAAATTTAGAGCATACTTTTGCAAAGAAAATTTTTCAAATCTTTTTACAAAATCCGCTGGTGTTTATCTTTTGAAACCAAAAAGTTCGGTATGTCTATCAAAAGGATAGAAATGGCCAAGAAACCGAAATTTGGAGTGAATGTCTAAAATCCCGACCCCATTTATCTCTAAAGGTAGCACATGAAGCTATATTTTTTATTACATAATTCAATTAACTATGCAAAAAATAGCATGTATGCAATTTTTCGTAAAAAAATAACCGTGGGATCAAAACTGTATCGTATGCCCTTAAAGCCATTTTTTGAAGTCTAAATTTCTCTGGTGATTTCACAGAGGACGGTTTTTTTTAAGTTTACAACGACGGACGCCAAGTGGTGAAAATAGCCTACATGTCCATTCAGTATAAGGTTATTCAAAACGGGAATCCATGCCACAGGCGCCTGTGCAATAATAACCCTAATACATGTATAAAAATATTAGTTATGAGACTATAAAATATGATCTCATCAGCAATGTGATATATAGGTGCTACTATAACAGTGACAAAAACAGTTGTCCTCTTTTTTCTATACATGTATTTTCTATTTTTATCTTTATATTCTTTTTTATTTAATATATTTTAACAGATCAAATATGATATTCCAGACCAAGTTTGGGGTATCGTAAATATTCCTAATGGATGGTTGAATTCAAACATCAATATTCAAAAAAACAGTCATGCAGTAAAACCATCTATGGCCACAAATGTTGATGTTGGTTTTAAAAGTGGATTTTTTTCAGCTAGTGGATCTTACCAGAAAATTCAAGATTATATAACAAATTAGTTTAAACAATATTTATTCAGATAAATCAATATTAAACGATATTATACAAATGAAATAATATTAAGGATTCAGAAACAAGCAATTTGCTTTTACAAATCTGTCTCCTTTTACAAAATTATTAACTTATTGGACAATACATAAATATAAATACTGGCATGCTCTGTAATAAATATATGAATATGAAAAAGGTGAAAGAAGAAGAATGAGAAAAAAAA